TCGAACAATCGGTGGTTGTAGAAGGGTCGAAATGGCTGCGCAGGCGGGTTAGCTGTTGTATTTTTTTCTTCATTAGGCGACTATCTTGATTTACCATTTTGTCCAGGTTCATACAGGGAATTAGACCGAGCGTTAGATGAGCTATCTAGAGCACCGCCCATGGAATGGATGGAACTCGTATTAGAGTTTCGTCTGGATGAAGAACGGTGGTATCCTTGAGCTGGTCGACTGCTACTCAAATGTCAGCGTAAGGGAAGATCCATTAGGTAGACGAAGACCAACCTGTGGAGAGGGACCTCATGCCGGGGCCCCAACGACGGCGCAGAAAGGCTGTCGACGGACTTTCCGGCCGCTGGAGAAGAAAACATCATATGCGCAATCGCAGAGGATCTGGCTGATAATGATGCCGAGAGGTTCCAGAAACAGGACCAGAGAGCCCTGTATAGCCGACAGCTGTGTATTGACGGGTCGGATCAGGAGTGCTACCGGGGTATCATCGCTGGCACATGCGGGAGAATAGAGAGCGGAGCATGCACTACGCCCTGAGGGGAAGAATATATTGAAGTAAGGAATGATAGAAAGGTGACTAAAAGACCATGGTATAGGTTGTTTTGGCACCAACCAATGGCCAGATCAACGCGATGCCGATTGATGGGAGCTTAGCGTTGAGGCAAGCAACTGCCATGTATACCTGACCTGCTATGTCAAACTGCGTAGTAGCCACGAAACCTCAAGCCAGGGCTGCGCCTTTGTTTGCGATGGACCGGTGATTTTCCGACATTCTCTCTCAACGCTGGCAAGCGGTTTTGTTTGGGCTGGGGTCGCTATTCCGCACCATACCCACTTGGGCCTAGTACCTGCAACCACTTAACGTCGCGTGTCGCGGTCCAAATCACGCGTCTGGTTCGTGTAAATTGCATTGCCTGGGTGCGTTTTGTCCTTCGGTGTCGCAATGCCGTCAGCCCCTCAATTGGCAATCTGCAATTTACATATCGCATTCACGCCCGGGATCCAACAGCTTCACACTCGGAGCCTTGACGTATTTTGCAGAGTAGCGAGTCGGCAGGTACGGTAAAAGACCCAACCATGGATAGCCGGTCTGTTTATTCAGCGCATGTCTTCGAGCCCAGCTACGCTGAGAATGGGGACACCCGGCTGCAGCTCCTGCAGCAACTCGAGACCTTTATTCTTGACTTCCGCCTCGACAATAACTTTGTCTATCGGTATGTTGAACGTATGCGGAAGCCGTCGCAGATTGGCTCTAACATGTGTAATTAGTGATCAGCTACGAGAGAATGCGCTTCTCAAGCAGTTCTACTGTGACGTCAAAATCAACGACCTCATCAACTTCAACGAAGAGCTCGCTCACAAGCTCGCTTCCGAACCTGCCGAAGTCATCCCTCTGGTGAGTTTTTCTGCGATCTTTGGTGTTGTTTCATCGGTCTCCTCTGACAGCCATGGATAGTTTGAGACGGCCCTTAAAAAATGTACACAGCGAATCGTCTTTCCGCACGAGAAGGAGGTCAATCTCCCCGATCACCAGCTTCTGCTCCACTCCGATGCCGAAGATGTGTCAATCCGTAACCTAGACTCCATGACGATTGCCAGGCTTGTTCGCGTCCCCGGCATCGTCATTGGTGCTTCCGTCATGTCATCCAAAGCCACGGAGCTGCACATCCAGTGCCGCAACTGTCAATTCCAGGAGGTCATCCCCGTGTTGGGCGGTTTCACCGGTGTAACGCTTCCTAGACAGTGTAATCGCAAGCGAATTGACAACGACCCTACGCCCAAATGTCCTCTGGACCCATACTTTGTTATGCACGAAAAGTCACAATTCGTTGACCAGCAAATTATCAAGTTACAAGAAGCACCAGACCAGGTACCAGTTGGAGAACTGCCTCGGCATGTTCTCATTTCGGCAGATAGATATCTCACAAACCGCGTTGTTCCCGGGTCAAGGTGCACGGTCATGGGCATCTTCTCCATCTACCAGAACAAGGCGTCCAAAAACTCATCCACTACCGGCGCCGTTGCCATCCGAACGCCGTACCTGAGAGCAGTTGGCATCCAAACAGACTTGGACCAGACTGCCAAGGGCCATGTTAGCTACAGTGAGGAAGAGGAGCAAGAATTTTTAGAAATGAGCAGGCGACCTGACCTGTACAATGTAATGGCGGACTGCATTGCGCCCTCCATTTATGGAAATCGAGATATCAAGAAGGCGATTCTCTGTCTACTACTAGGTGGATCCAAGAAGATTCTACCCGATGGTATGAAGCTGAGAGGTGACATCAACGTACTGCTTCTCGGTGACCCTGGTACCGCAAAGTCGCAGCTCCTCAAGTTTGTGGAAAAGGCAGCACCAATCTCCATCTACACGTCCGGTAAAGGTTCTTCTGCTGCGGGTCTGACAGCCTCCGTCCAACGAGACCATTCTACAAGAGAATTCTATCTAGAAGGCGGTGCCATGGTTTTGGCTGATGGCGGTGTGGTTTGTATTGATGAGTTTGACAAGATGAGAGACGACGATCGCGTCGCTATTCACGAAGCCATGGAACAGCAGACCATTTCCATTGCCAAGGCTGGCATCACCACCATTCTCAATGCCAGGACATCTGTCCTGGCTGCGGCAAATCCCATCTTTGGCCGTTACGATGACATGAAGACACCCGGAGAGAACATTGACTTCCAAACGACCATTCTGTCTCGTTTTGATATGATTTTCATTGTCAAAGATGAGCACTCCCGCGAAAAGGATGAGAGAATAGCCAAGCACGTCATGGGTATTCACATGGATGGTCGCGGTACGGAGGAGGTCGCCGAGTCTGAAATTCCTGCCGAGAAGATGCGACGATACATTACATACTGCAAGACGTAGGTCCCTTTTCTTTTCCCCAGCTCCCCAACCCCACGAATACCAACTAACACCAATCCCAGTCGCTGTGCGCCCCGTCTGACCCCTGAAGCCGCTGAAAAACTCTCGTCACATTTTGTCTCCATCAGGCGTCAAGTCCACGCAGCCGAGATGGAAGCGAATACCCGCTCTTCTATCCCCATCACAGTCCGTCAGCTCGAGGCCATTGTGCGCATCACCGAATCCCTCGCCAAACTAACGCTCTCGCCCATGGCCACGGAAGAACACGTTGACGAAGCCATCCGGCTGTTCCTCTGCTCTACCATGGATGCTGTCAACCAGGGCAGCAACCAAGGCAGCCGCGAGCTGAACGAGGAAGTCAACCGTCTGGAGGTCGAGCTCAAGCGCCGACTCCCTATTGGGTGGAGCACGAGCCTGGCCACGCTAAGGAGAGAAATGGTTGAGGGCAAGGGATACAGTGAGCAGGCACTCAACAGGGCTCTTATGGTGCTGCAGCGGAGGGATACCATCATGTTTCGGAATTCAGGGGCACAAGTATATCGGCACGGAGCGTAAGCTACTCGCATGTGAGACCTTGTTGGAGCAGGCGTTTTTAACGATGACATGCTGTCCGTGCGATGACGGCTACTTTTGTGAATAAGAGCAGGCGCTTGGGTACATGGTGGAACAGGCATGGCACAATGACACGGGATGTATTTATTGCGAGTGAGACGAACTGTAATCTACGCTTAGGGCGTGCTACATGATTTGAGAAAACCATACCCAACAAAGAGAATACCTCGCTTGATCCCCTATCCGTACCAAGAGTCACTGACCGGGATACTCCCCCTTCTTTACAGCTCGATGGACCGAGAGCGTTGACATGCACACTCAGCCTCACCCGGCATCTCAATGCCAAATCCCCTTGATGACGAAGACTTCCTTCACTAATCGCCGGCACTCACCGCCCGCAAGGCTGTCCAACACATCGACACCAGACAGCCTGCACATCCTCGCCCCTCCGGCCCCCAGGTTCATCCCGTCCCTCCAGTCCGCAGCTGTTCATCAAGGGCCCCGGATCCCCTGCGGCCGCACCGGCGGTAAAAAGAAATGTCGATCGCGCAGTGCCGTCTGGCGTCCGCCCGAAGCCAACCAGACCAGACATTACGGGCCGGCCCGCCAGCCTGCCCCGAGGGAACATGGGAGTGACTTGAAGTACACATCATGCTGAGACGACGGCTCCCACGGACAGGTGGCCGATGACCTGGCCCTGCAGCCTCTGTGTGTCGGGCATCTGCACCTATTGGCCGGCGCGCAGGTGGTGGTTGCGTGCCGACATGTGCAGCGCAACAGTAGACGCGCAGCGCGCAGGCCGTTGCCATTAGTCGAGAGCGATTGATTGATTGACTCGACATGTCTCGGTGCCGAGGAGAGGCCACGCTCTTGGGCTGAGAGGCGTCAGCTGGTCTTTTGTCCTGGCAAACGCGGCGCGGGAAAAACTTGCGGTCAGCAAGAAGAAAGATCTCGTCATGGTAGTCAGACTGAGGCTCTCTGGATGTTGGTCGCAAGGTGAGCCGCCCGTATTGAAGGGCCGTGGGTTGGCGGGTGAGTTGTCAGCTTCGAGATGCTCGCCCATGACGGCAGACAAAGCTTGGCGTATACATACGTCGGCGAGGGCCTGATGTTACAATTCCCACTTCATTGTAGCAGACGGGCGATTGTTGAAGGCTGAAGCGTATCACAGCCTGTGTCGAGAATCAACGCAGAGCTAACGGGTGTCTTGGTGACCCCCGGCGCGGCTTCAAAAGTTTGGCTGTATAGAGAGCATCAAGGGAAAATTTGTTGGTCTCAAGACGTGGTTTTTTTTTTCTCCATGGAATGGCTGCAGACGGCAAAGCTAACGCTTACAAGCTACGAGCTCTTCACAAATGGCGAGATGCATTGAAACAGGAGCTGGCATGACAAAACGAACGACCGATCCATTCATCGTACATGAAATATAACCCCAGAAAAGGTAAAAGACTCAAGAGGGAGAAACAACAGGCGACACAATGAGCCGTCCATGATCTTTGTAGCCTTCCAAAAAAGAGACTATCCCACCCGACTCAGACACAGATTGTGCCGTCGGGTCAAGGGATAGCGTCTACTAGTCGCTCTTGAGACAATTGCTAAGAAGAGCCGCAAGGGCCAGCGTCAGCATAGTGTTGGCCTTGACGTCCTGAAAAATGACGTTTACGATGAAGCATCCCACGGTGACGGCGACGGCAAACGCCGCAATAGCGCCGCCCCTTGACACAAGGCCAGAGGCCTGGATGACGACGGGGACGCAGAACAACGCCGCCAGGAGGCAAGTGACAATGGTTCGCGAGAGTATGCGAAACGGCCAGCTCGGGTAGTCGCGGATGTCCATGCCAGGAGAGCGATGGAGGCTCTTCAGCAGCGGTTTCTGTCGCGGGGGTCAGCCTCGATCGAAGCCAGCGCAGAAAAAGCGAGAGACGCACAAAAATCTTCTCCCCGATGGGAGGCGTGGCCACTTGTCCCACCATCAGGTCGAGCTTGCTGATGGTGCCCACGATGGCGTAGTCCTTGGGGTCCCGGGACAAGTAGCGCGCTTGGTCTGCGCCGACTCTTTCGTCTGCGAAGGTGTTGAGCTCGCCGACGGCAGCTTTGGTAGGCGTGTCGAGCTGCAGAATGCCCCGTTGGTAATGGGTGAGCTTGTCTGGGCAGATTAGAGAGGCCAAGGGTGAGTTGCCGGTTCCTGAACCAGGGCGCACGCGTGTTTTCGGAGGGGACTCACATTTCCTGCAGACCAGGTCTTCTAGTTGGTCGCCGAGGTGGTCTGGGTAAGACGAAGTCGTGCGGATTGAATAGACGATTTGCCTGAATACGCGGTCGATTTTGCGATCCAGATGGTGCTGGGTGAGATAGGCAGCGCCGTGATGGGCCAGGGTGAAGCCAAACGACTTGTCTAGGTTGGCGAGGAAAGCAACCGAGAGAGGCCCGTAATTGTCTTCAAACAGTGGTCATGGAGTCAGCGCGTTGCGCAATCGTGAGCCGGGCTCTGTACGTACCCCGGAGATCATCTTTGGAGGGCAGTTCCTTGAGGGCTGCTGTGTAGACAAGACAGATCAGATCAGCTCCAGTATTGAGTCTTGACTTGGATCCAGGGCGACATACCTGGAGTCTGGCCTTCTTCTGTAACCGGAGTCAGTGTATCACGAGCGGCTCCCATACCATACGAGCCCACAGTTACCCCGGATAGTCCGGTTGTGGTGCGGTCTGCAATATCTTCAGAGGCTCGAGGGGCCGTCATGCTGCTCAAACAAGTCCAGAAAGGGGGCCTTGCCACTTGATGTGCAGTAGATTCGTGCCTCGTCGCAATGCCCCTATTTATATTTTTCTCTCGGAGGGGCAAGGAACACAACTGCTTCCATCAAGGCCCCATGCAGGCCGCAGGATTGGGAAATCTCGTCACCAGAGTCAGCAGTCCTCCTTGGGTCCAAGATTGGCAAAGAGCCTCATCCGTCTCTCTCCGCGCAGCCACGATGCTGCCGAACGGGCAACGGCCCAACCCAGTCCAGCCATGGCGGTGATGGCATTGGGACACACCAGCAGCTCAAGGCGCAGCAGCACGCTTCAAGTGTCTGTGACGACTTGGTGTGTGGTTGCTGTGGTGCGCTACATCCGTACATCATGACTGCAGGCGTGATGAGTACCGACGAGGTATTCCTTGGTCCCGACTCTCCCGCAGGTGTCGTGCTGGTTAGTAATGACGGAGCCAAAGCATGCCATGAATAAGCTGGTCCTGGGGAAATAAACCGCCATTATTGGCCGTACCGTGTTTGGCATATGTCTGAGTCTTCTCATTCGGCCGGAGCTGGAGCTGGAGGACACGGCACAAGTCACAACCAATGGCAGCGTACACGCACCGTCCATGAACCTCACTTGCAGTATGAAATATCTCTCGGCGTCCAAGTAATGGATTGCAATTCTCTATCAACAATAAACAGTAAACTGGCATGACCGTCCCATCGTTTGCCGTCAAGGTAGTCGTGGCTCTGTCGCCCCGTCGTCTCCAACAGCCCGTGTCGTTCGCCCAAGCAAGGGACGCGAGGTCATCAGAAAGAATAGAAAAAATAACTTCCCAGCGAATCCTTATGCCGCCTTGAACCCCTTTAAAATACAGAGTCTGCATTTGTCATCAGTATCTGTCTTGCAGAAGAGGAAATGGCGTCCCTATACTCACCCCAGATCGCCGGCAACAGCGACATCATCACGGCACACCAGATGACGTTTTTATACATCTCCATAGTGTTTGACCCGACTGATCAAGCATCGTCGATAATGGACACCATCAGGCCCTCGAGATACCTCTCTTGGGTTTCGTCTGACCTGGGGCCGGCTTCTCAGTTGGTTTCCGGATTATGACAAGACGACTTTCATTGACCGGCGCCATGGCAATGATAGGCATGTTTCGAATATGTACAAGATTTGTGATGGATGTATATATGTGTATATGTGTATGGATGCCTGTGTGTTTGAGTGTGGTGAATGAATGGTACTAGCAGTGGCAGCAAGTCTGGTATTTAAGCACCTCGAGAAACCCGAGCATCGGCTTGGAAAAGGACATACAAAAAACAGCTCTCAGAAAGTCTCCGGCGGGGGCCCACCCCTGCTTCACGGTTTCTTTCTTTTTCTTTTCGTGTTGCGAACCCTTGGCAGCGGCATCAAGTGATGCCATGGGCTTGAGTTTGACAGTGAGCCCAAGCCGAGCATAATGACCAGGATGGCTGCCATCGGCTTACGCAAACGCAGCAAGTTCGGCAAATTAAAGGGGCGTGTGCGAAGGAACTATGAGAGGGAGACAATATTCTTGCTGTTCCCACCAAGGGAAGAGTCTTGGCCAGCATACGTCGCGCCGTACAATAACTTTGGTGAAAGCTTCATCCAGTACTCAGCAACAGCGAAACCCCTTCCCAATTCCCGCAAGTCTAGAACCTCGTGTTCACATACTTGGTGCCGTGTCGGTATATCCAAGCAGGTTCACCTTTTTCGGCTCCGAGAGTTGTGGGAGGCAGGGCTGTGACGGCTGGCTAGACGAGATATCATGGCCCGGGATAGCCTGTATGATGGAATTGTAAACCCGGGCTTCTGACGCCACCGACAGTCTAAGCCAGGGATATGTACGTACCGCACGGCGTGTTGTTGTATCCCTTTGAATGTGCGCAGGTCTAATTTTTGTAACGGACCAGGGTTCCAGCTAATAATAACCACCTACCTAAAAGATATATATATTAATTAAAAGATTATATAATAATAAAAGTTATTAAGACTTTAAAGATACTTACGTATATAAAAATATATTAGTTATTATTATTAATAAAAAAGTACTTTTAAGTATTTTTAAGTATCTTTAAGTATCCTTAAATATCCTTAAATATCATAAAAAAGGTAGGTTAAATACATCAATTGGACCTGCGCACATTCAAAGGGATATCAAGTTGGTTTTGCTGCATGAGGACGTCCCACATGGCCCGGAAGGCGCAGGCCAAGTCATCATCTCTCAACAACAACGCTCGGACACATGACAAGGTTGTCGAAGGTACGGAGAGAAGAGACATCTGGAAATATAGAGGAATCAAGGCACTCGAACGGGTTTAGACAATGCACTTTGTGGGTCGTCCCAAGTCAACAGCCGTACATTTAGCATCGGGGATGTGACGCCGTGAGATGCAAGAACCAGCGTCATTCCCAAACGGAGCTCTGTATGTGCAATCTACGGTACAGGCACAGTGAATCATTATGAAACGAGTTTCCCGGTCTTGCTTCTCTTTCGCACGTGCGTTTCTCATGCAAACAGCATGTGTCAGCGCTGAGGGTTCCCAAGGAGTCTGATACGGCAGCTGAGCGCAGATCTACTCGTTGAGTGCTCAGTCGGTATTGCACAACCTATCATTTCCACGCAACATCGTTCCAAACGCCCTGCTTTGTGGCTTTTGGGCTGCAAGCGCCGCTCAGCTGACGGAGTTCCTTCCGACCCCCGTCCAAGTACCATCTGTTGGGCCCCGGCTCCAAAGACTGCATTCCTAGTATAAGGTTGCGCCATGCGCTCTAGAGGCCGGTGTCTTCGTACAATTCCTCCGCCCAAGCCCTACTCGTGCTCTCCCCCAGGAGATAGACTACATCCTGGAACCATGAGTTGCGGCTCATTCGTTTCCGACTCATGCTTTGACCTGCCGCCGAGCTCGGCCCTGGCACCCCAACCGTCACTCTCACACGAAGACTTCACAAGTTCACAAAACGGAACCCTCGAAAAAAAGAAAGCAAACCAATTTAAAAGAGCCAATCGATGATAGAATCGGGCGGGCAACGCGTCCGGTAAATAACATTCGAAAGGGGGAGGCATGGTCCACGTCAAGAGAAAAATGAGGCGAACGTACGGAGCACCGAGTACTCTGCAAGGCGACTGTCCGGTTTGAAATTCTCCATAGAGCGCAGGAGTACCTAGGTATCCTCGGAAGATTAGGGCAAGGGCTCGAAAATATCCGACCACGCCCAAGTATTTGTGCCGGATGAGACATCTGGAAAGCAAGCCTGTTTCCGCCGCCGGAGCTGCTTTTCTGCCGACGTCCAAGATGAGCCGTGCACCCAAGGGAGAGTTTCACATTATTCTGAGCCGCAGACATGTCTTTTGATAGTTATCAAAGGCCCTTCAGCGAATCTTTTGCCCAGCGAGTGCTGGTGGAGGAAATAGCGAGCGTGTTTAAGCCGGTCGGTCGCCCGGGTGAACAAGCCTCATTTTTGTTCCCTGGCGAATGAACCAGGGGGCCTTGCAACTGGCAGCGGCAACTGACCAAGAAGCTTCAACCTCCATTTAAAGGGTCTGGTCAGGATACCTGGTGTGACGTTTTGAGCAATCGGCCATGTTTTTGTTTGTCGGGACATGGAGCTGGTCGCGAACCAATGTGAAAGGCAGCACCGGTCCCCTTTCCCTGTCGCATGCAAAGATGTATCTCATATGGCATGCCATCAGGCAGTCATCCATGTCGCCTTTCCTAGAGCCGGCTGAAAACCAGGGGACCCAAGTATATACCTGAGCCGCTGCCATCACCTATCTGACATATAATGTACTCCGTGAGCAGGCATTCACTGGTGTCTATTGACCACGACCACACCGCTGTCTTGTTTGTAAGTTGCGGTGCAAAAGGACCGGTGCTCGTCATAGCATTCTCACCGGGGAAAATTGACATTTCCAACCCAGTTCTTCGAGCACATGCCCGTAGGCTCGGCGTCGAACAGGTGGCCCTGGCTCCTGTCCTCAACGACGTCTGTTCGATCAGCCTCAAATTTCTCAGTTTAACCTATCCCGAGTTGACGCAGGTTGGTCGTTTCATTTCATAGCCACTTCAACTGCCTTTAGAGATGTCACCGACCAACAATGAAATAAAGCTCGCTGTCATTTTCTCTGCCATGTAGGCCGTCCGTGAGTAGTACTATAAAAAGTTGATGGTACAGGGTATAAGTGTAGTAACTGGTAAGAATTCCCAATTTCCCTTGATGCAACGCCACTTCCCAAGCTGGCTGATTCAGGTCCCCGCCAGCCATGAATTATCTGAAGTTTCCTCTTCCTGGGACATAGTCAGATAGCACGTCGTGTGAACAACTAAACCGACGACTCTCGTGTCTTGGTATCCTCGATTTTCCACTCCTCCTCAGTCATGTGGAACCATTGCGACACGCATGTAACAGCCGCCCAAGCCTCACTGGCAAGAGTTAGATGCAACAGCTGAGTGCCCAAGAAGTTGACCAATGCTGTGCTTGTAAACCCACTAAGCATATTCGCATTGTATATATCCCAGCATGGCAGACCCTGTCGACTGCGGAAAGAGCGAGCGACTAGTCGAAGAGCTGTGGCCTCATAGGGTGCCATCAAAACTCTGGACACAGCATCCACAAGCACGTGTGCTGCCATGGCTGCTGGCAATTGCGTGAGCAAAGTATCTAAATATATGGGCTGCGGGCTTCCATTCGATCGAGAATCTGAGCCTGCGCTAGGCCGTAATTCCGCTGACCAAAGACCAGGCGGTGCGTCTTGAGACTCTGAAGCCTCCACATCAAAACTTATCAAAGTGGCACTGACTCCTTCGTTATCTTCATCATCACTGGGGTACTCGTCCCCTCTAGTCGAGAATAAACTTGCCCGGCGGGGCGTCTGCGGCTCGGCTGGCCGACCTCCTGGAGTAGTGTCCCCGGTTTGCTCTGGCATGTCGCCACCACTGCTCTCGACCTGTGTTCGATTCTCTGCATCCGTGTCCACGACTCGAGGAGGATTAGGTGGTGGCGGCGGGCCAGCTTGGGGGTTGAGCGGCGGAAGAGGGAATTGCAGTGAAAACGGTAATCTCTTGATCTTAAAAAGAGTACTTGGAAGATTCCTGAATATGCGTGACCATATTGGATGTTTCCAGTCACGCGCCATCCTTTGAGCCATAATCCACACAAGGAACGGAGTAGCTGATATCAAGGCACCCCCGACCCATTTTAATAGGGATGGTATCGAGTAGTCATCAAGTGAAGGTGGAGCAGATATTGGTGAGGATTTGGTAAACGGGATAAAGAAACTGGGGTGAGGCAACCACAATGCATTGGGCAGAATCCCCAGGCGTTGCATAGCGACATGCAACTCTAGATGGATTCTTAAATAGGACCAGATTTCGTGGATCCTATTCCTAGTTAGATGACAAACTATGATGAACTTTTAGGAAGGGAAAACATACACACGACGAAGTACTTTCTTGACTTCATCATCATCACTAACCCATAAGGGTGCCACCACTCTTTCGACGTAGTCGTTGAGCAAGGCTGTTGGGGCGCCAGCTAGGACGTCTCTGGTAAAAGAGAAATCAGTTCTGGCTCGCCGAAATAACTCCCAGAATGGTATCTGGGAGTATTTTTTGTAAATCTGCAGCATGAATAAATTAACATCGTAATTCAGAATCGTTTCATGTGACCAGAGACATGCTAGTACACACCAAGATTCGCTGACGAAGGCCGTGGACGCCAAAAACGCCCGCAGACTCAATGCAAATTTGAGCCGGGGTACGCAATTGAAAACCCATGGATTCCTCATATATTTCGTGTCGACACTGCGATTCGTACTCTGATCCAGGGTGAGGGTTCTCTGGCTCCGCTACTCCAATCACCAACATTACTTCGTTATGAGCCCTGATGAGGTCGCGGTTCATCCTCTTGGTTTCTGGGTTGATAGGGCGGCCACGATAGTCATACTGCTGCGTGGGATGACGCGGATCATCCTCGCCTTCCCCATCAACGACTTCGTCATATGGAGAGCGGCCCTGGAGAGTGATTAGCTTGAACGAGACAGATACATGGTAATGAGCCATACCAAGGCCTGGGCAGTGAGAGGCCCCTGCATACCCATGGCGGCGGATATTTTTAAGTATTGGCTACTCGAGCCATCCCCGAAGCAGAATTGTAAATAAAACAAACTCCCTAATATGATGACGTTGTTGCGACAAGTGGAAGTGACGTTTGGCCTGGCCCCACTAACGACAGGTGGTTGTGCTAAGTACCTAGGTAATTGGGCTTGCTTAGTCATTCATTCGGCCAACGACGGGCGGCTTCCCGAAAGGACCCAAAAAAAAGTTCGAAATTCAATGCATGAGGACTCGAGGTCATCGGCTGCAACTACCTGCGATTTTGGCCATGGCTACCAAACAGCCATTGAAAACAACCTTCGACGTTGAACATGTTATTAGGCCTATATTTACGGGCGGATCGATTGCAATTGACAACGACGCTCAAATTCTGGCCACAACTCTCGGCGAAGATGTTGTCTTGACTAACCCCGCCAACGGGAAGCATTTGGCACAGATTGAAGGTGTAAGAGAATTATCCATGGTTGACGAGTCGCAACGTGCGCGTATGCTGACATGCCTCGATAGGATGGGGAAATGGTTTCTACGTTAACTTGTACGTTTTTTTTTCTGCTCAAGCCATGTCATCAGCATGTTAACCATGGTGTAGTAACTCCATCTGGTTCACACCTGATTCTCTGCTCGCGATCGCTATCGATGAGAATCTTCTCTTTAAAGCGCTCCCCCTCCGACGATACAGTCCAAGCAACCCTTTCTCAAACCCTAAAGCCGCACGGCACGCCTGTAGTGGTCTTGGCGGTTGATCGCACAAGCACACTGCTCGCGACCGGCGGAACTGATGGCACCATTAAAGTATGGGATATTGCAGGCGGTTATGTGACGCATTCTTTCCGCGGCCCGTCTGTTTTGGTATCCGCCTTGCACTTTTTCGAGATCGCGGCCCGATCCAAGGACAATAAAAGCTCGCGAAAGGGCAAGAAAGGCGCACAGGCAGAGGATGACTCCGACAACGAGGTTGAAGGCGCCAGTAGCGTCAATTTTAGGCTGGCTTCAGGTAGCCAGGACGGAAAAGTACGAATTTGGGACCTTAATAAGCGCGGTTGCGTCGCCAATCTCGACTCCCACGTATCCGATGTCCAGAAGATAGATTACTCTCCTGAGCAGCATGCCCTTGTTAGTGCAAGCAGGGACAAAACCCTTATTTGGTGGGATACGAAGTCGTGGAAGATTCGAAAAATCGTGCCTTGCCTTGAGCTTGTGGAAACGGCCGGGTTCATTGACAACGGTCGCCTGACCTTCTCAGCTGGCGCAAATGGCTGCTTGCGCATCTGGGATACAGACAACGGAAGGGAAGTTACCCCAGCTCAGTCAGAAAGAAGCGAGGAGGAGGGCATTGTTGCCGGTATCTATCGTCCTGGCTTGCCGTTCATTCTCTGCGTCCAAGTTGATCATACGCTTGCGTTCTACAAATCACCTACCAAAGGATCAGAAGCTTCTCTAGGCATCCCAGAACCCTTTCGTCGCATCTCAGGCACCCACGATGAAATCATTGACCTTGGTTATTTGCTTCCAGATCGATCCATCATGGCCTTGGCAACTAATTCTGAGGATATTCGACTGATATCGGTAGCTCAAGCCTCGACAGAGGGAGCTTCAGCGCCGTGGGACTCCCACGCGACTCCTTACTTTGGGCAAGACGTGGCGCTTCTGAGAGGACATGAAGACATTGTCATCTCTTTGGATATCGACTGGTCAGGACACTGGATTGCCACAGGCGCTAAAGACAACACGGCGCGAGTGTGGTGTGTAGACTCTGCCCGCAACTCCTACACCTGTTGGGCTACTTTCTCGGGTCATGCTGAGTCTCTTGGGGCTGTTGCCCTCCCAAAGTCGGTCCCCGCTGAAGGTTCTGCTGCACGAAACAATCCACTTGATCATCCACCAGCGTGTCTCATCACTGGCTCTCAGGATCAGACGGTCAAGAAATGGGAGATCCCCCGCCAACGCCAACAGCAAGGCTCGAAGCCTAGAGCTGTCTTCACCAGGAAAGCTCACGAAAAAGACATTAATGCAATCAATATTCACCACTCAGGAAGTCTCTTTGCCTCTGCCTCGCAAGACAAAACAGTCAAGATTTGGTCAATGGAGGAAGGTGAGGTCCAGGGCATTCTTCGGGGTCACAAGAGAGGAGTTTGGTCAGTTCAATTTTCTCCAGCTCAACTGCCTACCATTCAAGGAAACGATGGCCCTGTGACTGGTAAGGGAGTCATTCTTACTGGTAGTGGTGACAAAAGTGTCAAACTTTGGAGCTTGGCCGATTACACATGCATCAGAACGTTTGAGGGACACTCCAACAGCGTCCTCAAGGTTGCTTGGCTGAATCTGCCGTCTCAACGGGAACAGTCTAGGAAACCAGTCCAGTTTGTTTCTGCTGCTGGTGACGGTCTTGTTAAAGTATGGGATGCTAACTCTGGCGAGGCGGAATGTACTCTGGACAACCATGAGGACAGAGTCTGGGCCGTAGCCGTTCATCCTGAAACCAACACTATTGCATCTGGTAGCGGTGATTCCACCGTGACATTTTGGAAGGATACGACTGTTGAAACCCAGGCCGTGGCCTCCCAAGCCGCGCTGAAGATGATTGAGCAGGAGCAAGAATTAGAGAACCACATTTTTGCTGGCTCATACAGAGAGGCCATCACTCTAGCACTTCAACTCAACCATCCTGGTCGTCTCTTGAACCTGTTCACGTCAGTCGTTACCAACGGCAACCCAGATGAAGGCAGCTTGTGTGGGCTGAAGGCTGTTGACGAGGTTTTGGGCAGCTTGTCCGATGAGCAGATTTTTCTTCTGCTTCTTAGACTGCGAGACTGGAATACAAATGCCCGCACTGCACCGGTTGCTCAGCGCATCCTCTGGACGTTGGTGAGAAGCTACCCAGCCTCTAAATTCTCCGACTTATCGGTCAAGGGAGCACGTGGGCAGAAGAGTCTGAGCGATGTCCTTCAAGGGCTGCGGGTATACACGGAGCGCCATTACAGGCGTATGGAAGAGTTGGTAGATGAGAGCTATTTGGTGGAATATACCCTGCAGGAGATGGACAGCCTGGCACCAATGGAAGACGGCAATGCCAGTCTAAAGGAACTAGACGACGGACAGGGCGATGCGGTCATGGTTGGATAGATTGGCTCTCTACCTTAGAGGCGTTTTTGTGCATATACATGGGGTAAATAGGCGTTTGGTAAATGTTGGTGATGAATCAATTGAGGACGCATTACAATCATCATTTTCATACCTCCATGACAGCAAAACATTCGACAGCAAAAGTGCCACAAAAGCAGGGACGCTGAAGTGTTGATGCTCAAAAAACTCCAGCTTCGACTTTGGTTAAGGGAGGGTCGCCTCTCCCATGGTGGTGCACTTACAGCCAAGCTCCCGTCGCCGCCGCCCCACAATGAAGCGACACTGGGCTTTCTTTTCATCCTACTGTATGTTCTGTAGCAACCCCATCTCCAAGCTCCCACGTATAACCACCACGAAGAAGCTCGTCATAACCCATTGCCTCATCATACAGCTCTCTAACCGCACAAATCCACCCCAAGCACAACATTGCGTCCCAGGAAACCACAGATACAAGCCCCGCACACCATGGCCAAGCGCCATGCGTCGGAGTCCCTCGACGAGCTCCTCGGTATAGCATCACCAGCATCCAAAAAGTCGCGAACAGCCGAAGTCGAAACGCCGCCCAACGAAAACGGCGTATCCTTTGCCGCGCCAACACAAATAGACGACGGCAACAACAGCTCTGATAACGACGACGACCTTGACGAAGCAGTTCCCTCCGCGCCGTTGCGACAAGCCAACCCCACCGAGGGCTACGATGACCTCTATCTCGACACGATAGACCGACAAGTCCTCGACTTTGACTTTGAAAAGCTCTGCTCCATCTCGCTGTCCAACATCAACGTATACGCATGTCTAGTCTGCGGCAAATATTTTCAGGGCCGCGGGCCCAAGTCCCATGCGTACTTTCACGCCCTCGACGAAGACCATCACGTCTTCATCAACCTCGAGACCCAAAAAGTATACGTCCTCCCAGAAGGCTACGAAGTGAAGAGCAAATCGCTAGACGACATCAAATACGTCTCGGACCCACGGTACACCAAACGCGAAGTCATGAGCCTCGACCGCGCGCACCACAAATCATGGACCCTCGCCGGGAAAGAATACACCCCAGGATTCGTGGGCATGAACAACATCAAAGAAAACGACTACCTCAACGTGATTGTACAGGCACTCTCCCACGTGCCCCCGCTAAGAAACTACCTCCTTCTCGAGGACTTCACCAAGACTACAGAGCTGGTCAAGCGATGCAGCATCCTCTTCCGCAAGATCTGGAACCCGCGCGCCTTCAAAGCCCACGTCTCTCCGCATGAGCTCCTCCAGGAAATCGCCCTCCGCTCCAACAAGCGCTTCACACTCACCACACAGTCCGACCCCGTCGAGTTCCTCTCCTGGTTCCTGAACAACCTCCACCTCGGACTGGGCGGCAGTAAATCCAAACCGGGCAGCTCCATGATCCAGCGCACATTCCAAGGCAGACTCAAGGTCGAGTCGCAAGCCATCACCGCCCGCGCAGACGCCACCGACAGGCTGCGCTTCGAAGAGGCAGCACAGGTAAAGGTGGACATTGTGCGCTTCCTCCTCCTCACGCTCGACCTCCCCGCGGCACCACTCTTCCAGGACGAACTCGAAAGGAACATCATCCCGCAAGTGCCCCTGACCACCATCCTGTCCAAGTACGACGGCAAGTCGGCGCAGGAGCACCACGCCCAGCGCAAACGCTACCGCCTGCTGCACCCCCTCCCTCCATACCTGATATTCCATGTCAAGCGATTCTCGCAGAACAAGTTCGTCTCTGAGCGAAACCCTACAATCGTTACGTTTGATGCTAGGAACCTCGATGTGTCGCCGTACGTGGAACCGAATCCCGCTGAGTGGCCGGTCTCGGAGCCCATCTGGTACGACCTGGTCGCAAACGTTGTGCACGAGGCGGTGCGCACGAGGGAAGATGTCGCGGATAGCGGGGACGAGAGGAAGACGTGGAAGGCACAGGTCAGGGACAGGGCGACGGGCGAATGGGTCAGTTGTCAGGATTTGTACGTGGAAAAAGTCCAGAGCGAGTTGTTGTATTTGGGCGAGACGTATTTGCAGATTTGGGAGAGGAGGAGGGAGCCAAAACCAGCGGCGGCCTCTGGAGCCAGGAATAAGGCCATGGCGTAAATCTTGATGTTGAAAATCAAAACGTGTAGAGTAGTGGATAAGACGATAAACAGACTACCGAATACCCATGATGACCATCACATTCAGATCCTTGTGGCGCTGGAACAACACTTTGGATAAACATGTCTGCATTTGTTGCAACTGCTCACTTTCTCCACAGTCCACCACTGAACTCCTCACCAACGTTCGCTCATAAGCTATACATATAGTAGTACATGGTCACATGAAACCTATCATAGCTGCCCAAGCCCTAGTCCGGGCAATATCGCTTTCTTTCTCTCCCCCGTTTCTTCTTGTCCGCTTTGTTTTTACTGATAAAATAAAAAAAAAGAGCACCCCGTCCCTGTGTCCAACTAACCCTAGTGTATGCGTTACGCAAAACGAGAAAAACTAAAAAAATCACGACGCATCCACAACCTTCCCTCCCATTTTGCCTCCAAGCAAAATAACTCCAGAGAATGACACCAAGCAAGCACGAAGGAAGCACCAGGCAAAGAAGAAATAAAGTAATGAAACCAAAGGGAGCGTTCAGCATCTTGTCAAACCTTGAGCTCGCCTATTTTGTCTCATAGATATTGTACAACAAAGGTAATTGGGACTATGAAGCCTCAGGCGATTGCGCTAAGTGAGGATGAAAAAAAAACCTCTACTTCTATTCGTGGCTCTGTCGCTGCGTGTGACGTCTATCGCCGCCCTGGTTCTGGTTGGCTTTTTCACGGCGCTGTTCCTCGATAGCGGTTCTTTGCTGAATACTCGAATCGTGAGTCTTAAATTCAACACGGGTGTTTGGAGGGAAGTTGAGAACGCTTTTCATGGTCTCTCTGCCACCAAAAAAAAAAAAAGTTAGTCTAGTTGTGTAGAGGGCCTTCATTTGCGTGATTTCCGCTTACCGAATCTTGAGCACGCGACCGCCAGCTGTCCGTGTCCAAATGCTAAGAATGTCTTCCCCGTTACGCATGCTTAAAACGGCGCCGCATACATCCTCACCTGCATCACCGAACTGATCGCCAATGAGGGAGAGAAGCAAGTCCTCCCAATACCGATCAGCCACACCCTTCTTCATCCTCACAATCCACTTTCCACCTTTCCGATTCACCTCATCTTCCCAGATGGGCCGAATATCCTTCTTGAAAAGATGGTAATCAGACACAACCGGTAGGGTGGATGGTCTCTTCAGATGAGAGTAAATCTCCCAAAACTCCTCGACAGTTTGCACGGTGGCAATGCCGTGTAGGGTGTTTTCATACTCGATGAAGCCATGGGCCTTGGAGATGGGAGGACGATACCAAAATGACCACGCATCTTTCAGCGGGTGTGCTTTGGAGGCTACCGTCAAAGAAGACACCTTATTTTCGGCAATGGATGCCATACTTGGAGCTTTACCAATGGCAGCCTTGCCACTGTCCTTCACGGCAGTGGTCTTAGCTACAGCAGAGCCCATAGCCGTGTCGAAAGGGTTTCCAGCAGACTTTGGTGTCTTGGCTGAACCAAACGAAGCAAAAGCACCTGAACCCAAGCCAAAAGCGCTTGAAGCACCACTGGTAGGAGACGCTAGGTTGCCGCCTGGAGTATTGAAGGGGCTGGCTTTGCCATGCGCGGATATGTCGCCGCCATGGCGCCTGGGGACGGAGGAGTTGCGGGAGGCATCACCGGCCGATGAGCCGTTGGGACCGTTCGTCGATGTCGAGAGGGACAATTTGCCAGAGCTATAAAAAAAGGCAAACAAAGCCGTTAGTCACTGGCACATACAGCGAGGGAACAGACGTGTTCTGGTGGCACGAGGGAGGGCTGGAAGGGTGGTATGCGGAACTTACTTTGTGCGACGGTTCCAAAGATTATCCATGAAGACGTAGTTTGTGTCTTGTGTCTAAATGATGCGGCTCGATGTCGGAGAGAGACACCTCAAAGCGCGTCGCGAGGGCCAAGAAAGGCGAGGAAGAGGGAGGAAGGGGCAACAGGCGTTGATAGTGATTCTGGCAGGAGCGGTGTATGTGGACAGCGAATGAACGATTTGGGGTAGTTGAATCCAGACGACGTGCGATGGGAGCAAGACTCAGCGCAGGAGGTATTCGAAGGCGGCGGTGTTGACGCTATATGCTAGATGCGAGCGTAGGCACGGGATGCAAGGCAGCGAGGGAGAATCGAGTCGACAGCGAAGCTCAGAGCCAACGGTAACACGATTGTGCGAGGCAGCCAGTGGATGTGAGCAGTATACCGTGAGTAGTGGCGTGCGGTGCGTCGACAGATCAAGAGATGACGTATGCTATGTCAAATAGGAAGATATTTGTTGTTTGCAGGTTTGTGAGATGAAATACGGGGAGGACGGGACGATGCGTAGGCGAGGGCAGCAGTGTTGCAGTTATGGAATGCGGCGTGGTCTGTGGATCTTGGACTTTTTCTGAGAGCGACTTGGAGATGGATGGTGGGTGTGAGGTAGCGAGGTTGGTGTTGTGGAGGTCAAAAGAAATTCTTGCCGGACTGGACCAGACCAGACCAGACGTTACGTACCAAGACATGCAAGCCACCTGTTGATCGAACAGAAGGCGCCTGGCCAGACGACAACGGGGCCCATGGCCTCGCAGCACCCTCCACAGCACTTGACCATAGACGACACCAGCTTAGGCGGACTCGACCTGGTCACAGAGCGTGCAACAGGCCCGCTGGTCTGTAGAGACCAGTAAAAGCTGGTAGCTCGGCGGGTTCTGAGGGTCCCTGGGTCCACTCTGGTGCCCAAGGGGCCAACTGGTCAACAATAAGCCCTGGCGTCAACTGTCGCAGCATTTTTCCATGTTCTGATGTCGGTTGGCCTGATGGTCTGTTGCCCTCAGTGCTCGGTGCTTCAACGTTGGGTTCTAGCTTTGGCGATGCCAAGAATAATGGAGACAGTACCAAGGGCTATTGTGCAAATGAAACACCGAGATAAATTAATAGTATGGCCACTTTTTTAATGCTTTTGAGGTTGAGCATGGCTATTTATTGCCTGATGCTTCGTGCTTGTGAATGCTTCTTTTTCACTGTCACGGGGAATGGAAGCAAGGCAAGGTCAAAGACAGACCATCATAGGGGTGATACTTACGCATTGATTGTCTGCGCTCATCCCTCGTTCTCATAACCTGGGGGTGGCTTGAGCTACTCTCTTCTAATGACAACTGCGCTGCACGGCTTCAATTGTGTACTCCAAACGCACCACGCCTGTCTCGGCTGTCCTCCCTCTACCTCGATGAACGTACTAACAGCCAAGCTCCTAGGATTCGCTCGACGCTCGGGTTCAATACGCTTTCATAAACATAAAGAGCAAGGGACGAGGCCAATAACAACAGTCCCGTGGGACTGGTGGTGGTGTACAGCTCCCGTCTTCTCAGCTTACCTTACCCGTATCCGGCTCGCCGAAGATCAATTGGTAGTATTAACTTAACAGTTTACATGCAGCACTAGTGTCGAGTCTGGTGTAGAGTCACTGGTCCTCCGTGTTTCCGAGAGTCATTGCTATTGCCTCCAATGTCCCCCGCACTCTAGTCCGGTGCCATCAATACGTAGCTAGTGCAGCCATCTTCACCTACCTAGTGCCGCTTCGGTTGGCTTCTTTTTTAGACCCGGGGAATGTGTCGAGTTAGTTTCATGGGAATGCGTGATGCAGCATTTTGTGATGAATTGATGTGGCGTTTCTTAACGGCGAGATGAATAATACCTGACCCTGTGATCAAAGGCGGGACATTCTCTTGGGCGCTGTGGCGTTGGATAATGAAGAGGGCGACAATTGCCTTGCCTGGAGTAGTGAGCGTGGCAGAGGTAAATTCGAATGACTTCAATTGATGCTTTGCCAGAGTGTTGTAAATATACACTCCGTACGGGGCGAGTTCAAGTTTTATGACTGACTGTCCCTTGCACAAGTTGGTGTTTTGCCCAATGCGCCGGCGTACAGTTAGCAGCCCCACTACAGGTCCAGCCCACCATTCCTTCAATTGACCTGCCCGTCCCAATTCTTATCGCCCCTCGCAAGGGCTTATCGCCAAAAAAAAAATTTCCCAGCCTGCTGAAAGCTGCGTCGCCATTATCACCATCTTACCATACAACCCGTGCTACTCCTCGGCGTCCCAGCACGGACACATAACCAAAATGGCGGCCTCAAAAACGCGAACTATTAAAAACAAACATGCCGCCCCAAAGGGTGCCTCCTCCAAAACCGGGGGCAGTGCCGGTGGCAAGCGTTCTGCTACCGACGGCATCTCGAAATCGAAAAAGCCCAAGGGCCCCGTCGTTTCGCAGCAAGTCAAGGAAAAGAATCGCGCGGCGCTTCTAAAAAAGCCCAAGAAGAAGGTCTACACGGAGGCGGAATTGGGTATTCCCACATTGAATATGGTAACGCCTGTTGGCGTTGTAAAGCCCAAAGGGAAGAAGAAGGGCAAGGTCTTTGTCGATGATGAGGTACGTTCGCTCAGTCCGATGGCTTTCGGCAGTTTTGAGATTAACGAGTGGTCAGGAGAGCATGGGGACCATCATGGCAATAGTTCAAGCCGAAAAGAACGGCGAGATCGAGTCGAAAATGATCAAGGCAAGACAGATGGAAGAGATCAGGGAGTCGCGCAAGCTCGAAGCTGAGAAGAAGGAGCAGGAAAAGAAATCAAAGTTGGAGGATGCAAAGGATTCATTGAGGAAGAAGAGGAAGAGAAAGAGTGGTGGCGAGGAAGAGGATTCGGTTAAGACGTTGGCATCGGCAGGGTCGAAAGCTGCCAAGTCAAAGAAGAAGGTTGCGTTTGCATGATGAGCGTTATTCGCGTTGTCTTGCAGCGTGGCAGAAGAAACTGCACGATGATATTCGCTATATTTTGCATCGTTTGGCGCTTGGAGTTTGGGCATACCACTGGGCGGGTTTCGCTTGTTTGCACGGTGTGGGCAGCTGAGATGGAATTGGGAAAGATTAGGCACATAAAACCATGGCATTCAATATCCTTTCCAGTCTTGTATTGAACATGAAAATCCTGTCTATAAATCATTTTACTCTATTTCTGACATATGTCTCGCTGAATGTAATTGCCCCTCTAGTTTTTGCTCCTCATGTCTGGCACATTCATCTAATCCTCTAAAATTTGAAGCTTACGACGCATCGGGTTGTAGTCGGCACCGTGTTTTGGGTTTTCTGGACTAGGTACTCTGGATGGCGTAATGCTATCCAAGTCGGCCTTGAACGCAAGATGGTTTAGGAAGTTGCAAATCTAGGCCACGGAATTAGCTAAACGAGAAAGATCCGCGATGTCAAAGCGAACGCACCGGCTTGGGATGCCATCGACTGCCACCCATCTCAAACCAGCACAGGTGACCTCCCATGGATGTGGTAATCATGACAGTATTGGGGTTTTGCCTGAATTCTGCATAGGGCAGGGCTTCCTTCACAGCAATCTACCGGATAATTAGTATGAAAGACTGTCTTCAATGCTCTGGCTTGCTTACAGGGTCGTCAGTTGCCTGGACGGCAATGAATGGAATCCTGATGTTCAAGACAGCATCCGTGGAAGATGCATCACGGTAGTAGGCATCTTCAGTAGGATATCCCCATGTTGGACATCTAATGTATGGTTAGTGACTAACGCAGATTTCCTGGAACAAATACTACGCACTGGACCTCGCGATCGAAATCATATAAATACGTGACCTTTTCAAGGGAGGGTAGATCAAGGTCGGTGTACTTCTTCAAGGCTTCTTTGTGAGTGCTGATCAAGTTCTTCATGGCAACTAACAACACTGTTAGACTCATAAAACAGAAAGTAGCGGCGAGAATGGAGCAATGCGTACAACCCATGACTCTCAAATACACCTCCTTGCCAATGAATCGATTTTGTAGCATTTTGCTTGATATTTCCAAGTTGAAAGGGTTAGAACAAACGACAGCTCCCTTTAGGAGGCAGTCTTCGCCTTCCTCGCCACAGTACTGCTTCTGGTCAATACATATGGCCTAACTATCCGTAGTTCAGTCCCTACCAAGTACTTACATTGGTTAGCATGTTGGCTCCCAAGGAGAACCCAAGACCAAACAGCGGTCGGTTTGGGAACGTTTTCTTCAGCCATTTTACGGTCTATACATGATCAGCAAGCATTTCCCAGGGGCTGTTGAGCATCTCACGAACCTGTCGGCAATCCCAAGTAGCTCGAGCATTGTAAAGAACGCCACTGGTGATCTTGCTCCCTGCACATCCCCTCGAATTCACCACACATACTTCCCAACCTCCGTCTCCTAGCAGAGGAGCAATAGTATGTCTCAGATATATCTCATGAGAGCCTCCAGACAAGCCGTGCAAAACGACAAGCATAGGCTTGGAATCATCTGAGCCTATATTGTCGAATTCCTCGTCCGTGTAGTAAGTGGTCCTTCTGGGTAATGACTCGTCGCCCCCTTCATACGGTTGCACAGCAAAGTCCACAGCAAAGGTGCCTTTGTACGTCTTGTGGTCGGCATCAAATGTCTTGCGACGATAGTATACTGGAGGTCCGCTGGGTTTGGTGGCCGTCCACATTGTCTGAATGTGGCCATTGAACAACAGCGGGTTCAAGTGGCATGGAGGTGTTGATTCCTCAACAATCTTGAGCAAGTCTGTCTCCTTGCCATCCTTCTCTCGTATCGCTCGTGGCGCAGGGGCGTGAGTGAACTCTACCTTGGCATGGCCGAACCACTCCATAGCTACCAGTATGCCTAGTCACCGCAAATAAATTAGGAAGAAGACTGCTGTGACAAAGTCTGCACGAAGGTTGACGTATGCAGTTGATGCTTCTGAGGGGGAGCTGGAGGTCGCTTAATTGGATTCAAAATTGTAAGACAATCTCGTTTTCGACTGCCTCTAAGTACTAGGTAGGTACTCATGCATAGGCTGACGCCCACATTTCTCGGGCTCGGACTTCTGCATTGGCCGCTTCAAGTTCCTTCCTGAAAGTTGCAAGAGATAAGGCAGCTTCTCCGTAGATACTATTCCGTGTTCTAACCTTCAAATAATTGCTGGCTCCATCTTTTTACCATCGAAATCGAGGCACTGCCCAATCAATGCTCTGGCTTTTTATAACAGGCAATTTGTTTAAAGCCCGATCTCCGTGATTCGACTCTCTTCAGCGGACCAGCCGAGGCTGTGCCTGATCCCTGCCACAGTGAATTGCTCGGCGGGCTCGCTCTTTTTGTAAGGTGCGCTTGCGCCTTGCCAGGTACTAAGCTATAAGTAAAAAATTTAAATTTAAGTAAATCTATATAGAAAAACTTTTTAAATAAATAAATACCTACCTAGGTACCTAGGTAGCTAATAGGGGGATAAGCGCACCTAGCAAAAAGAGTAAGCCCACCGAGCAATTCACCTGCCATACGTCATCGGAACAACGGCAGCCAATTCATCCGACAATAAGTCACTCGTATAATCACGTGGCTACAGGTGTCGACTCCATCCTCGTTTCATGTGTTTGCGCACAGTCGTGGCACCTTCTACGCCTAAACTCCATCAATCTTGGGCACAACATGACAAAGTCGGCTACGTTGCGGCAACATGCCTGGTCATACTAACATGTTAGCATCCTCTTTAGCTGAAAGAGTGGTGTTCGATTAGGTTCTTGACGGATTCATCGAAAATGCGGCAACGAGATGACACCAAACCTAGATTGCGGCCGGAGGGTCGACTAGCAATCAATCATTTTGCAACCGGAACCGCCATCAAGCCCGAGATGCAACCACGTTGAAAGTCGAGCTGGACTTGAGCCCCTGTGCGGATAATGCTGTCATGGTCGAAAAATACACACCGGATTGGTTTGCTCCAACGCAAGACTGCGCATATGCTGCGGACTTGTCAAATGCAACGATGGCTATGACATGACATCAGTCATTGTTTAGAGACTGGTTGTCTACACTTGATCCCGAAGCATCATGGAACGAGCAAAGGCTATCATCTGTCAGAAGGGGGTTGGTACATCTTTGGTAATAAAAGATGTCTACGGCACATCCTGCGCCACCCATTTCGGGGCCAGGCAACCCATCTTCACCAGCCTTGTACACGCCACACCAGATACACCGCAGACAGCATATATGCTGATCTTGACATATCAAACTTTGCGAGTTTTCACACCTCAACTCGTCAAATTCACCTCCATATGAATGGCCAGCTTTGAATGACCAGCATCGACATGCCAGACTTGCACTCAGCCCGGTGAAATTCTATCATGGTCTGAAAACCATTTCCTGGAAGGTGGCAACAAGTATTACTGTGCTATGATATCGGAGGGAGCGTCGTCGGCCTACCTACCAGCTGTGATGAAAGGTTTGACAACGCGGCCAATGACTGATCTGTCAACCGGAGGATTTGACGATTTCACACAGTTACACTTCTGTGACACATGTTGAACAGACAGATGGAGGAATGTTTCGTAAATCATCCGAGAGGATTAGTATGTAGTTTTCAATGCCTGTCGCTGTAGGAGCAGTGGCGAGGCTACGATCTTGTGAGACAAAGTTCCCAATAGGGGCAGCATTGATGGCAACAGGTTGGAAGTTCATGATAGCGGACACATTAAAAAAAACCTCTTGGGCGGTGCTGCAAATGGTAAGAGGTTCATTCGACATGGACAGAGCAGAGCTGGTTGTTGGTGGTTGACGTTCAAGCTGGTCTGGCGAGGCCGGGAACAAGGACTTCACAGAAGCAGCCCCAAGCGCTGGTTCATGGTGGACATTTGGCTTGTCACAGGCCCAACACGGTAAGCTGGCGAAAGCTGCAGCATGTTGGGTATTAATCACCCGCCGTCTGCATCATGCTTGACGACTTGCTTTTTTTCCTGCTCTCAGTGAGCCAGGAGGGTCATAGGATCTCCTCGGGGCGGACGCGCAACAGCTGAAGTGCTGTCAGGGTGGGCGGGAAGATCCCCTGTCGTTCGGGTAAGGTGCGGCGATTTATTGCTCGCAGCACTAAAACTCAAACGGGGTACTCGCCGCCATATGCAGTCCGCCAATCCATCCGTGTCGACGTCGGCATGTTGCCATGAGAGATTCTGGAGGAAGCCATTACGGAGAACGGGCTCGAACTGGTCGAGGAGCATCGTCCTCGGATCGGCCAGGATCTCCTCCCAGGGCGGCCCGTCGCAGCCCAAGCACCGAGTCTCGATATCGCCATTCTGGTTCAAGGCACCGTCACGACTCGTCCAGAGACGACCGTCGTCGCTCTCGCGATCGCAGCAGAGATCGTTCGCGACAACATCGAACCGAATCTGCACGTCGAGACACCGAAGTAGAGGATCTTATTCCACGTTATCGAGCGCAAAAGGCACGCCATCGGGACCCTGACGACGAGCGTCGTCGCAGTCGTAGCCGTGAACGAGCCGCCCCGGTGTCTCCATCTTCTTCGGCCAAGAGGCATAGAGCACGGAGTCACTCGGTTGAATCGCCTCACAGAAAACGATCGAAGCGGGATCACGAAGCATCTCGGCCGTCTCGAGACCATTCCCCAGACACGGAATCTAGAAGGCGTAGACGCCGGTCCTCCCACGAGCGCCATCACCATCACCATCGACATCGATCAAGGTCCCCTGGTCGCCACTCCCATTCTCGTCGCTCTCCCTCCCCATCACGAACCTCCCGGTCGAAACGCAAGGCATCCTCCAGATCTCGCTCGCGGTCCAGGCGCGAATCCGCGTCACGATCCCGGCCGTCGAGAAGCTCTGGCAGGCCCAGATCTAGATCTAGAGAGTACAGGTCTAAAGACCGCCGGCCGGCATCACGGAGTCCATCTCCTACTGGAAGCCGTCGAC